TACCGCAAAAAAAAAAAAAAAAAAGAAGAAGTGACTGGAATCTGGATCTATTCTGAAAGTAGAACACACAGTATGTGCTGACAGACTGGATGTGGGTAGTAAGAAAAAGAGAGAAGTCAAAGGTTTTTTTGAACTGGGCAATTGGAAGGATGAGGTTGCCATTTATCGGAATGGGAAAAATTAGAGGTGGAACAGGTTTGGGCACAAAATTGGGAGTTTAGTTGTGAGCACACTAATTCTGAGTCGCCTACTACACATCCATCCACATGAAGATCTAAGATAGGCAGCTGGGGATGAGGATCTAGGGTTGAGAGGAAAAGTCCAGATTAGAAACATAAATTTAGAGGCCACCATCTACTACACGGATCAGCACACTAAGGCCTGCAGGCCAAATCCGGCCCTCTGTCTTTATAAGTAAAGGTTACTGGAACACAGTCATGCTCATTTATTTACACATTGTCCATGGCTGCTTTCACACGACATCAGCAGAGCTGAACAGCTGCAACAAAGGCCATACACCTTGCAAAACCTGAAAACCTAAAAAACATATGTAAAATAAACTAGCCCTTTACAGAAAAACTCTGTCAAATTCTAATAAACAGAACTGAAAGCTCGAGATAACAAGATCCCTTAGAGAGTGAAGTGAGTGCAGACAAAGACATAGTCTCAAGAACTGTGCCCTGGGATGCTCCTATCTTTGGAGGGCAAGAAGACGAGGAGAAATCCGCAAATGATAGTGAGGCAGACTAGCCTCAGCAGAGGAGGCGAACCTAGAGAAGAGTGTCCCAAAAGTTCAATGGAGAAAGTATATCAACAAGGAAGGAGTTGTTGTGCAGCTAAGAGATCAAGTAAGATGAAGACTGAGAATTAATTAGCGACATGAAAGTCACTGGGAGCAGGCTGGGGCACACAAGCCTAACTGGAATGGGTCAAGAAAGATAGGAGTAGAGAAATTAGAGGCAGCAAGCAGAGACAACACTTTCAAGGAGTAATACTATAAAAAAAAAAAAAAATTGAGGTGGTAGGTAGAGGGAGATGTGAGGTAGATAGGTCACCTGGCATACCCTGATCCACCTTGCACACAGCATACAGTGAGAACTTACAACTAGAGAAAACATGTCTATTTACACAGTTAACAGAGAAAATCCACACCAGCTACCCCATCATTCCATCCTAAGTATGAACAGAAAACCACGGATCACCAAGACCATGATGAGAACAAGTGACAGCAGCAGAAACATGGAGGGAGCAGATAAATCAGAGAACCGAAAAAGGAACTCACTGAAATATATTCTTAGATTATGAAAAAGATGCAATAGAAATTGAACAGAATGGCATTTTTGCAATTAAAAACATTATAGCTGAACTAAAACATTCAAAAAAAAGGTTTGGAATTGAAATCCAAGAACCCAGAACAGAAAGTTACCAAAAGTATGAGAGAGGATTAGAGACACAGGAGAGCATCCAAAAGGTCCAACATCCAACTAACCAAGTAGAACAGAGAAAACAGAAGGGAAAGAAGTTTACCCAAGAAATATTAGCAAAATTAATGCACACAAATTTTCAAAACAAAACAGTCGAAGTATACAATACAATGGCTGAAAAAGACCCAACCTAGACACCATCTCACAAAAGCTCCAAACATCTAGGACAAAGGGATGATTCTAAAAGCTTCCAGGGGGCTTCCCTGGTGGCGTAGTGGTTAGGAATCCATCTACCAATGCAGGGAACACGGGTTCGAGCCCTGGTCCAGGAAGATCCCACATGCCGCAGAGCAACTAAGCCCATGCGCCACAACTACTGAGCCTGCGCTCTAGAGCCCGCGAGTCACAACTACTGAACCCGTGCACCACAACTACTGAAGCCCGCACGCCTAGAGCTCGTGCTCTACAACGAGAAGCCACCGCAATGAGAAGCCCGCGCACCACAACAAAGAGTAGCCCCCTCTCGCCGCAACTAGAGAAAGCCCGCATGCAGTAACGAAGACCCAATGCAGCCAAAGTAAATAAAATAAAAAATAAATAAATTTATTTAAAAAAGACAAGGATGTGATACCCTCAAAGTTGTAAGAAAAAAATTTTGCCCAAGTCTTCTATACGAAGCCAAATACGAATCAATCAAATGTGAAAGCCAAATAGAGAAATTCAGATGGCACAGCTTTAAGAATGGGGGCCATTTGGGCTTCCCTGGTGGTGCAGTGGTTGAGAGTCCGCCTGCCGATGCAGGGGACACGGGTTCGTGCCCCAGCCCGGGAAGATCCCACATGCCGTGGAGCGACTGGGCACGTGAGCCATGGCCATGGCCGCTGGGCCTGCGCGTCCTGAGCCTGTGCTCTGCAACAGGAGAGGCCACAACAGTGAGAGGCCCGCGTACCGCAAAAAAAAAAAAAAAAAAAAGAATGGGGGCCATTTAACTCATATCAACAATGATGTGGGCAACAATATTAAGCCGCTGAGATGTGAGGAACTGACTAATACAAGGAGTCAATAACTTTTATCTAACTTGATAAATCTATTAACATGGCAGAAGGAGGTTCAAGAAATAACCCTCAGAGGAATTAAAAACAGAAATATCAATAGTTAAAATAGATTCTCTGAAGGGTACTTTTCATTATGAACCCTCTGTACACCTGGATTTGTTACCATCTGCAAGTATTAATTTGATCTTAAAAAAACGTAAAAGCGGGCATAAAAGAGAGGCTAGGAATGAGATCTTCTATGAGTAACACAAAAGGACTTTGTTTCCGCAGCTCAGATACCTTTCTAATGTTTCTTCCAGTTTCCTGCCTCTGCTGCTTAAGGTTGAACTTAATTATGAGTGACCTTCAATTATGACACACACAACAAAATACTGAAAACCTTTTAAAAAGTAGTATTCTACAAAACATCCACGAGAGGGCAGTAGAACCCTCTTTAATACTCTACCAAAATAACGACAAGGAATTCTGTTTTTAATTAATTTTCATGTTAGGCTTAGAATCTTTTCCTAGAAAGCAATAAATAGCTGTGACCTTTATAATAAAGAAGCAGGCAGCATCTAGATACAATTAAAGCATCTTTCAGCTATATATCTGCAGCCGGTATCTATACAGTATTCAATGTAAATCATTAACACTTTTAACACTATAAGAAATCAATATACATTTCATTAAATAGATGTGTGAAGTTGTGAACATCAGGGCCCATACTGGACATACTGCTGCCATTTTTCACTACCCCCTACTTCTATACCCAGTAATGGACTTGGAAATCCAAGTCTCCATTCTGCTGAGCAGAAGCAAGCTTCAGAACAAAGACCCCGCATGACAGTGACCACCAGACACCCCCAATCAGCTGAAATGGAGATGAAACCCACCCACCACCCCAGAAAGGAAAAAATGTATGCTGTAAAAAGGAAAAACAAAGATGAAAAAAGATTAGAAGACCAATTCAGTTCACTGCTAAAGAACACTCTTCAGGAATTTTCTTAAAAGATCAGGAGACCCAATGAAAAGTGTCATTATAAGTTCTTACCTTTGCTGTGCCAGTCTGAGAACCATAGAAAATCTTCACTCCAGACACAAAGACTTCCTTCTTTTGAAGAGAGATATAGCCATTTGTCATCAAATCCCGAGATGCTTTCGGAACGGTTTTCTCCTGTGAGTTTTTGTTCTTGAAATAAACACAAAATCCATGAAGTTTGAATATTTTCCCAACTTCATTAGGAATGAAAATTATCAATCGCTCAGATACTGACCCATTTTATTATTCTCTTAATTTTTTGATTGTACTCCTCAAATATTAACCCCTTGGTATAATTAGGTCCTTTAAAAGCAGGGCCCACATTTCTTAAGACTATAATGATTCCCATTCCTTCCAGGATAAAACTATACATACTTTCACCCATAATGTGTTGTAATGGAATAATAGTAGAAACTTATTTTCTGATTCTTAATTACTGGAAAGAAAAGAGAAGACTACTACCCCTTAAGGGTGCTAAGCACAAAACCTTCCTGTATCTTAACAATGAGACTTCCACAGCCCATCAAAGAAAAGGTAAATAACTTAGTCTATAAAAACTGACAAGAAAAATTTTTTGGCATTGAAAAACTATTTCTAAAGACCAAACATAAAAGTGATCGAAAGTTCCTTTTAGAATTTCTATATTTTTCTGGAAGCCTTAGAAAATCTGCACTCTGCATTCTCTATAAAATTTGATGCCAAATACTCTCCTAGAAAAAGTAACTCCACTTGGGTTTCCCTGGAGGCACAGTGGTAAAGAATCCGCCTGCTAATGCAAGGGACACGGGTTCAAGCCCTGGCCCCGGAAGATCCCACAGGCTACGGAGCAACTAAGCCCGTGTGCCACAACTACTGAGCCTGCATGCCACAACTACTGAAGCCTGCGTGTCTAGAGCCCATGCTCTGTAACAAGAGAAGCTACCACAATGAGAAGCCTGCGTACCACAACAAAGAGGAGCCCCCACTCGCCGCAACTAGAGAAAGCCCACACGCAACGAAGACTCAACACAGCCAAAAATAAATAAATATATATATATTAAAAAAAAAAAAAGTAACTCCACTTACCTGCTTTTTGATGACAATCTGGAAACAAATCCAAAGGCTAAAGCCAAAGGCAAAGCCCAAATATATGTAAAACCTGTTTATCCATAATGATATTAAAGATGAGAAGTCCCACATATCCAAAGAAGGATCTAAATTTAAAATGACACATATAAGTAATTTTATTTGAAGTTACATATACAATGATATCCATTCTTATTTTAAGAAAAAAAAAGAAAAACCAACCTTCATATTCAACAACCCCACTAAGAAAACTATAAAAAGCAACTCTAATAAAAACAAGACACTGTGATATGTAATATAATTGTCATGATAATGCTAATTCAAAAAAAGAATATAAAATTTTATCTTCATTTGAATATAGCGTTTGGAAAAGAAGGGTACATAAAGTCAAAACACTTTATGTGGAATTATGAGTTAATTTTGCTTTGTTATGCTGCTCCATAAGAAAAATACTACTAAACGTATCCCTCTTTTTTTTTATTTTAGTTTTAAAGACAGACATCTACTTGCAAAGGGTTCTCAAATAATTGACCTCAAGTCCCAGTTTTTTTTAAGGGAGATAAGGATGGACCTGGACTCAAATGCTGAACCTGGGGGTAATTTCAAAAGGCGAGGTCTAAGATTTGAGGTTTACAGGTGCTACTCCTGGAAAGGACCAAAAGTCCTCAACACACGTGGGTAAGGGGGAGAAACAGTTTTCTCTGTCTTTTGCTTGAGGTTAGAAGCATAGTTCTAAACTCATCTCCTAGCCTCAAAAGGCAAAAGCCAGGTCACGAGCAGGGATCAGTCCTCCCTTGCCCCCAGCGGCACTGGTCCCGGGCTGACAAGGGCAACATACTCTGGAGGAAGGGGCCCGAGGGTCTCAGAAAAACGGTTTCCTCCCTTCCCACCCCACGAACCTTACCCGCCTGTGGACCTTACCCATTCTCCTCAGAGCCCGAGCCCTGCAGCCCGACAAGACACCAGGACTGCTGACCTAAGAAACTTATTGTCCGGCGTGGATACTGGGAGACCACCAGAAATACCTCGTAGCGTTAGCTGGGTGCCCACAGTCGGAGGACCTGGGGGCAGCCATGCCACTCGCAGACCTGTCCGGATTGGCTCAGAGGAGGAACGGGGCGGGCCCAGAGAAAAGCACCGCCCAGAGCTCCGGGCGAGGAAGCGGGAGCGCTGCTCGCGCGGCTCAGGAATCCGCGCTTGAGAGTTAGGGGCGAATCGGGAGAGAAGCAGGGAAAAAAGGAGGGGGTGGGGGAGGGAAAGTCGGCGTTAAGAGACTAAGGGCATCGCCAACCGAATGCAATCTGTGGGCCTGTTTGAATCTCATTTGAAACACACCGACTGTAAAAAGGCATTATTTAGGGGAAATTTGATTATAGACTAGCAATGAGACGCTATTAAGGAATTATGGTTAATCTCGGGTGTATTTATTAGGAGTTTAGATTGAAGTATTTAAAGCTAAAACTTGATGATTTGCTTTAAAATACTCCAACAACAAAAGAAAAGAGGGAGAATGAAACAAGAACGGCAAAGTGTTGATAATTGTTGAAGCGGGGTGATGGGTACGTGGTAGTTCGTTACACTTTTTTCTCTACGTTTTTTGTGTTTAAAACTTTTCTGTAACGAAAGGGTAATGTGGGCGTGGCCCGGAACTCCGCGGAACTGTGAGGTGCCCGGCACTGAGTTTCCACCCGGTCACCAAACATTAGCTCCATCAATCAATCAGAGCTCTTTCGTTCGTTCTGTAAAGAAAATTACGTCAAGGAGGAGCCCCTCTCTTTCCGGGCGTGGAACAGTGTCGTAAAAGCCACAATGCGCAGGCGTTCTAGCTCCCTACTCCTCGCCCGGTTTTCTCAACACCTGACGCCTGCGCAGTAAGTTGCGTGGGTGTATTGTGGCTGCCGAGTTAGTCAGGGCGCTGCGCAGTCTGCGGGCGTCACTGTGCCGCGCGCCGCCGGGTGGTTACATCGAGGTTCAGTTGGCCCTCAGGCCGAAAGCGCGGGTCTGCCTTGGTTCGCCGGACCCAAGGTCTGTGAGCGGCCACGATGTCGATCTTCACCCCCACCAACCAGATCCGCCTGACCAATGTGGCCGTAGTACGAATGAAGCGAGCCGGGAAGCGCTTCGAAATCGCCTGCTACAAAAACAAAGTCGTGGGCTGGCGGAGCGGCGTGTGAGTGACACTCTCCCTCTGGGCCCTGGCTGGAGCTGGTAGCCTCGAAGGCGGCCTCCCTTTGGTCGTCTAACGAATGGGCCCAGCTGGGGTCTCGCCAGGGAAGGAAATGGGAAACTTACTCCTGCTGCCCGGGCTTAGGGTCTGAACCAGACGTTCCCTTTTTTTGTTGTTTGGTTTGGGGCTTGGTTTTACTTTGCTTCCCAGGTGTCATAAAAGCCACAGCCAAGAAACCCCCATAACTGTGGTCCTTTCGTCAGAATGATGATAAAGGCAAAGGGCCTGGTCTTCCAGGTGCTTCTATAGTTCGTGCGTTTGTCACAGATCTCAGCCCAGTAGTTGCACCGAAGTGCGTAAGGTCTTCACTGCTGCCATCTAGGGGCTGGAATTCCTTGGCAGCAGCCGGACCCCACCCTTCAGTGATGGCACACATATTCCCGCGATGTTTTCCACCTCTGAGTAACTGCGAATACAAATGGAGTTCTGGATTACGAAATGGCCCCCTGGAACCGCGGGTCATTTAGGAGTATTTGTTGTTTCTTACTATTCATATCGTCGCCTTCTTGTATTTAAATGTGAATGAACTTCGAAGTTTCAAGCATACTCACTTAGGACTTTCTCTCCTGTCCTCCCAAGGGAAAAAGACCTTGATGAAGTTCTGCAGACGCACTCAGTGTTTGTAAATGTCTCTAAAGGTCAGGTTGCAAAGAAGGAAGCTCTCATCAGTGCGTTTGGAACAGATGACCAGACTGAAATCTGTAAGCAGGTGGGTTCTAACAGTTGCAGCATAATTGACCCTAATATCCAGTAGTATTAGATATTAGATTACAGGTATGTTAAACTTTAAAGTACTGTTTTTTTGGAGTGAACAGTTACTGTGCAATAATTCGATCTGTGCAACATCACTTTTAATAATTCAGGACTTGGATATTTTTTGCCAAAGCCTCCAGAAATCAGATTTCCTACTAAGCTGCATTATTTTGTCCATTTATATATTTTTAGTGTAATATACCTGAAAATAGAATTCCTTTTCAAGTATTTCATCATTTACACCCTCTGCTAAGATTACCTCTAACCCATCCCCCATCTAAATAAGTAAGATTTTGGAACAAGATAATCCCTTTAGGCAAAGCTCAAGTTATTAACAAATAGCAGTAGCTGAAGAGGATGAAATTTAATTTTCTCCCCAGTTATTAACTCCTGTGGTTAGTTAACAAGTAGTGTGGAATAAAGATATTACTTTTCTTAAACTTGTTGGGTTTTTTAAGATTTTAACTAAAGGAGAGGTTCAAGTGTCAGATAAAGAACGGCACACACAGCTGGAGCAGATGTTTAGGGACATTGCAACTATTGTGGCCGACAAATGTGTGAACCCTGAAACAAAGAGGCCGTACACCGTTATCCTTATCGAGAGAGCCATGAAGGACATCCACTATTCGGTCAAACCCAACAAGAGTACAAAACAGCAGGTGAGTTGTTTTTTAATGTCAAAAAGTGTCCATGAAAGTCAGTGTTCTCTGAGGAAAACATTAAAATAGTTGGTCTGTAATAACAAAATGACACTACTTGGAAGCAAGTGGGAGGAGGTTTTGGGTAGAGGGGAAGGGAACAATGGAGATTTTAGAGAGGAGTGATGGAATTTCTTTTAACTAAACACAAATATACTAGGACTCTCATCTTCCTATCCAAGTCAGACCTTTAAAGATAAAACTTGGATTCTTCCAACAAGGACCTGCTGTATAGCACAGGGAGCTTGGCTCAATATTCTGTAATAACCTAAATGGGAAAAGAATTTGAAAAAGAATGGATACTTGTATGGGTATAACTGAATCCCTTTGCTGTACACCTGTAACTAACACATCATTGTTAATCAACTGTACTCCAATATAAAATAAAAAATGTTTTTACAAAGATAAAACTTGGATTTTTAAAGCATCATTTTAATTCCAGTTGTTCGATTTTTTTTTAATGTTTGTATACATACACTATAAAAGTCACCCATTTAAAGCCTACAGTTCAGTCATATACTCATAAAGTTTTTGCACCCTTCCCTGCTACCTAATTTGAGAACATTTCATCACCCCAGAATGAAACCCTGTACCTGTTGGCAGTCACTTCTCATTCCCCTGTCTCATAAGGAGGGAATAAGGCAACTGCAAATTTTATTTCTGTTTTTATTGACTTGTCTATTCTGCACATTTCATATAAATGGAGTCATACAGTATGTGGTCCTTTCAAGGTTAATCCATGTTGTAGCATCTATCAGTACTTTTTTCCTTCTTAGGACTGAATAATAGTTCATTGTATGGAAATACCACCTTTTGTTCATTCATCAGTTGGTAGACATTTGGGTTGTTCCCACTTTTTAGCTATCATGAATAATGCTGCTATGAAATTGATTGCAAATTTTTGTGTGGTCCTATGTTTCCATTTCTCCATACCCAGGAACAGAATTGCTAGCTCATATGGTGACTGTATTAACCTTTTGAGGAATTGCTCAGCCAGTTTCCAAAACAGCTGAGCCATTTTACATTTCCACAATCAGTGTACAAGGGTTCCAGTTTCTCCACATCCTCAGTGATGTTTGTTATTGTCCAACTTTTTGATTATAGCCATCCTGGGGGTATTGTTCTGGTTTTGATTTGCATTTCCCTAATGACTGATAATTTGCGCATATTTTCATGGGCGTATTGATCCTTTGTCTTCTTTGGAGAAATCACTCTTCGGATCCTTTGACCATTTTTTAGTTGATTAGTTGTCTCTTCATTATTTAGCTGTAAGAGTTCTTTATATATTTTGGATACTAGTACCGTATCAAATGCATGATTTGCCAGTATTTTGTCATATTCTGTGGGTTGTCTTTTCACTTTCATGATAGTTTTTTGAAGAACAAGAGGTTTTAATCTTGAAGCCCAATTTATCTATTTTTTTCCTGTGGTTGCTCATGTTCTTCACGTCATCTAAGAAACCATTGCCCAGTCCAGCTAGGTGGAAACTGCTTTGTTTTGAATACCTTCTGCAGTAATGCAGCAGAAGAAGCAAAGAAATTACAAACGTTTTTAATTTTGTCTTGATAGGCTTTGGAAGTGATAAAGCAGTTAAAGGAGAAAATGAAGATAGAACGTGCTCACATGAGACTTCGTTTCATTCTTCCAGTGAATGAAGGGAAGAAGCTGAAAGAAAAACTCAAGCCACTCATCAAGGTTATAGAAAGTGAAGACTACGGTCAACAGTTAGATATTGTAAGATTAACATACTCTTGTTTCTTTGCTTCCACGTTACCAAAATACTTTCTTCTCTAGTCATAAATCTGTCACATTTAGAAGGTGTGAACAGTAAGACATTTCCAGTAACGTCTTAACTAGAATTAGGTAAGACAGTCAAGGTCTCTGTAGAACCAAATTGTCATTAAGAACACTTACAATTTTTGTTTGCTTTTTTAGTTAAATTATTCATGATAAAATGATTTTGGTCAATGCTCATTTTCGATGAGAGAATATATTTTACAGTGAGCCTTCTATTAATGAGGAAATTGGAAATAGGACTAAAAGTTTGTCATTCTCATTTACCACAGAACATTTTAAGGAAGCAGCAAAAACATCATGTCTTTGGGTCCTCACCCCACAGCTTCAGACATCGCGTAAATTCAGCTGTCTGCAAACCCACATCTTAGAGCTTTATAGCTTCTTGACAAATAAATGAGCTCTAGAGGACTGTTGCCCTTTCCACTGTAGATGTAAAACAACACATCTGACACTCTCTGAAGTTCTAAAATCTTTGCATAACTTTGCACATGGTTTCTAAATAGGCCTTCCACCTCTTTTTTTTTTTCCTTCAAATGTGGATACAAAGAGATGATTTCATTTAACTGTAAATTTTAACGCTAAATTTTTGTATGAAAAGGACGATAGGGGCTTCCCTGGTGGCGCAGTGGTTGAGAGTCCGCCTGCCGATGCAGGGGACACGGGTTCGTGCCCCGGTCCAGGAAGATCCCACATGCCGCGGAGCGGCTGGGCCCGTGAGCCATGGCCGCTGAGCCTGCGCATCTGGAGCCTGTGCTCTGCAACGGGAGAGGCCACGACAGTGAGAGGCCCGCGGACCGCAACAAAAAAAAAAAAAAAAAAAAAAAAAAAAAGGACGATAGCCTTCTAATCCAACCACTTCGTTTTACAGCTGAGGAACCTGGAAAAGTCCTCAATAGGGAGAATAATGCCTTGTCACAGGGGCCTGCGTGCATACTTAAGGGCAGAGGCTGGACCAGAACCCAGCCCACCGTCCTGTGCGTTGTCTTATCTGTGGTTGTAGAGAGACCTGGAAAGTATAGTGTGTTTGTCTCATAGGAAGTGAAAGCTGTGTCCGTTCTATGGTACTGCTCTTCCTCATGTGGTCCACAGCTGTGTTCAATGTTTCAGGTGTGTCTCATCGACCCTGGCTGCTTCCGAGAAATCGATGAGCTCGTAAAAAAGGAGACAAAAGGCAAAGGCTCTTTGGAAGTACTCAATTTGAAAGACGTGGAAGAAGGAGATGAGAAATTGGAGTGAC